CTATGAGGGATAAGAAGCTGAGATAGTGAAGGTAGAACATAGTACAGACGCCAGTGGGTAGATGGGCCACATAGGTCATGAAAGAGAGTTTTGTCTTTATCCTAAGAACAGTGAGGAGCCCCTGGAGGTGTTTAAGCCAGGAGTAAAGTAACTGAAGATTAGCAGTTTGAAAAGATCTGCATGGCTACAGTGTGAAGAACAGCCTGGAAGAGGCCAGGCTAGTTACAAAGTGAGAGACGATGGAAACTTTAATAGGGTAGGGATGGAAATGGAATGGACAGCTTGGAGAGCTGTTCAGGAAGTAAAATGGATAAGACTTGGTTGTGAGTTGGATATAGGGAGCATGGGAGGAGGAGAGGTCAAGAGTGATTCCTGGGCTTCTTGCCTTGCACAATGAGAAATAAAGAAGTCAAGAGTCAAGTTTGAGAGATCATGAGTTTTGGTAATGTAGGGTTTGAAGTGCCTTTGAAATGTTCCAGAGAAAATGTCAAGTACATAATTGGACATATGAGGCCAGAGCTCAGAGGATAGATAAATGTGAATCTTCAGTGTATTGTTTAAGTGGTCACTGAAACTACCATCATTCACAAGACTGTCTATAGTCAGGAGGGGAGAGAGTACAAAGAAATGCTCAGCTTGGCCTCCCAAATAATTTGGTTCTTCCTCTTTTGAATAGATGACCTTTATTTCCTTAGGGTAACAGAAGTTTGACTATTATCATCAATGTGGCCATTCTTTTTCTATAAAGGGTCTAAGTATAAATAGAGAAGGCAATGGGTTACAGGAGGCAAACTTTTTTCTAGCTATGATTTTACATTCTGCTGTGATCCAGGGAAGGGAAACAAACACTGTTTGAAAGGAATAAACATAGATTATAGAAAAGGAATCAAGTGAATTGGTCCCCAAGGTTCTCCCAGCAGGGACATACGCTCCTGCTCCCCAGTGGGAGCTCTCACTCTCTGGTAACGTCCTGATGCATTATGGGGAAGACTGTCCCTGCATAGATGTTCTTATAGCATTGCTTTTATTAGTTAGATGTTCTGTTAGTTAGATGTTTTATTAGTTAGTTGCTTCTATTAGTTAGATGTTTTATTAGTTAGATGTTCAGTTCTCAGTATGTAGCTGAGATTAGTGGTTTGAAACGATCCACATGGCTACAATGTGAAGAACAGACTGGAAGAGGCCAGGTTAGTTAGGAAGTGAGAGATGGTGGAAACTTTAATAGAGTTTTCCCCAATGTATGAAACAGCCTATTCATACATTACAGATTTCTGTAGTCAGAGGTTTGTCACTTGTGGGGTCAGACATTCATGAAGGATCCATGGAGCCTGCAAGAATGTAGAATCACAAAGCCATGAAGGGAGTGATGAACAGGGTGCGATATTCCAAAGAATTGAGACTGAGAAAGTATGTGATTGGCAATGTGTGGATCAGTGATAAGGTTAGCAATGCCTTTTCAGTGGCACCAGATTGCAGGAGTGCCCAGTGGTTGAAGAAGCAACCAGCTGGTCTCCACACTATAGGCATGCAGTAGACTAGGCCAACTCCAAGTGTTGACCTAGACCAGCAGCAGCAGCAGCAGCAGAAATGCAGAATCTCAGCTTCTGTCTCAGACCTAACAAATCAGAACCTGCATTTAAATAAGATCACTCAGGATTCTTAAGCACATGAAAGTTTGAGAAGCATTAGTCCAGATCAGTCTTCAAGAAGTTTAGCAATGGTAGGTAAGAGACAAAATAAAATCCAGATAAGAGGGAGATACTAGAAATGGAAATGGGAGAGGAGAACCCAGGAAGAAAAGGCTGGGATCAAAAGAACTACTTAACCTGGGGAAAGAGGTGTGACTCTTCCTTTGTTGAGAAAAATGGAAAAGAAGAATGGAAGAGGAAGTGTGAAATCAAAGGCAGATAACTGAGAAAACTTGGTGGATGGATGACCCACTTCTCCCAAGTAAAACTGGTGGCAAGGTCAACCACTGAAGAAAAGGCAAAAGAGAGGTTTTAGGCCAAACAATATTTCACAGTTTAGAAACTCCTTTAACTTACAGGGCTCTAGTTAAATGACATTTACTTTTGGTTAACATGTCTTTGCATGTTTTTCCTGTACCTCCTTTAAACAGATATTCATCAATGTATAAAAATTATTAAATACTTTAACAACAATTTATAACAAAACTTTTGCATTTGTACAAGTAATCTGATGAGGCTAAGCTGAGCCATGAACTTCACTAGGGCCAGCATTATATAGCTTGCTGACACTATTAAGTCAAAGGAATATCATGGCTGAAAAATGTATACAATTTGAAGAACAAAAAAAGTTTAATATTTACCTAAGTTTTGAAGTCTGTAAAGTTTGCTAAATCAATACAATGATCTGAAAAGTTCATCTCAAAGTCAGATATATTAGTGATTTACTTCATTGGTTTTCTCATGACCATTTATCATGAGGTATAGAATCTTCAGAATGAGGGAAATAAAAAACTTGACATATTTGCCTCTTATATGAACTAAATATCTGATTTATAAGACACAAATGAACAAACTTCTATGGCCTGTCATGTTTTCTCAGCTTCTAATTTATTCAACCTCTGCTCATTATTGATCCTGACAAGCAGAGTGACCCAAAGATAAATTTATTCATTCCACAGTTGAGTCAGGAACAAGCCAAAAATTATAGATTTTCCCAGGCAGATGATGACAGGCAGTCAGAGGGATGACAAATGGCTGTCTTTAGATTTAGTAAGGATGGTTGTTCCAGACATTGCCAATAAAGATTGGAGTATGCTGGTCAAACACAGGTTCATCAGCGGTCATCATTAATGGTAGAGAGAGCATTGCTGTGCTGCAGACACCTATACAGGAGCTTAGGCATCAACCCTGCAGGGGAAATATAATTTGCTCCTCAGTATTTTGCAGCACTCCTCTAAGTGATAGCATGACATGATCATTTATCAAACAGAGACTGTCCAGAAAAGTGTCTGCTTCCTTTAGTAACTTATTGAAGAGGAGGAAAGTGAAAGCTTTTTATTAAAGACAGGAAGGCAATGAACAACCAGAGCGTATCCAAAGGGTAATCATATTTCAGCAAAGGATTAGTTTAGTCTTAAATAAACATACACTGGAGGGAGTATGTCGAGGGTCATTTATCAAGTAAAGAACAATTAACAAAACTCTAAGCACTCTTTTATCTATATCAATTTAAAGTTCTGTAAGTGTTCTTATTAACTTTTAGATGATGGGCATCACATTCAACACTGTAAAAAATGTGATGCATAATCCCTTCCTTACAGGTTTTTAGAGTAAGAGAAATACAATGTAATTCTCACGTAAAATAAGGTAGTTATGGCTGTATTAAACACTGCCAAACAAATGCTGTTGGAGAAGGCATATTCCAGAGCCCAGAACTGAAGGATGAAGTTATAATTTATGAAGATAACTTTCTTATAAAAAGCCAACTACTTATTTGTCAATAGGTCAAGAAGTTTCTTCTTCCTTACTTAAAATGTTTTCACTCTCTGTTGACAAAAATTAAGAGAAAGGGAATTAGTTAAGAGGTAGCAGGGCAGGCAAACAGGCAGAGAACTGACACATTTATTACTTTCTTTGTTCCAGGCACTTTATATGCCATGGCAACTAATCTTAATTAACCTCAAGTTATAGATGAAGACATAGATTTGCCTAAGGTCACACAGTAAGCAGCAGTGCCAGGAAGTTTCGGATTGCCTTATTTTAAAAAAAAAAAGTCTTATATTTTCACATAAATTATTTATTGGAATCCCTCAAAGTCTAGTGCAGACTAAATTTAGGGTATATATCCAAAGGAAGTGAAATTACTATTTTAAAAGCAACATGTGCACTCCCATGTTCTTTGCAGCAATATTCACAATAGCCAAGCTGTGGAAACAACCTAAGTGCACTACTTTTGTTCAGTAATTCATAACAGATTAAATGCATCTGATATTAAAGATAAAGAACAGAACTTTGGCCACATATAAGAAATACTCAAAGTGTACTTCATTTTCATTAAATAGTAGTTAAGATAAAATACACTTTTTAGAAAGGGGGGAAGGGGAGAAAGCAAGAAATGACAGATAAGGTACTGGGGAAAGAGTGACATTGGATGGGAAAAGAAACTCAAATAGGGACAAAGAGGCTGTGAAAAAAGCAAACTGAGACAGTTAGTTCTTAAGTTCCGTTAATCTGTTTTCCTCACATTTATTTGGGTTGTAGACCACAGAATAACTTTATTATTCCTTGAAATATCGGTTAGCTGATTTTCTTCTTATAAACTATAAAAACATATAAACATTTATGATATAATGTAAAACAAAATTGTACTCACAGTACAATTATGACAATTAAAAATATGTACCCTCCCAAAAGTCCCTATGCTCAAAAAAGATTAGACGGATACATAACAACATATTAAAAATGATCTTTGCATGATAAGCATACAAATGATTTTTCCCCCTTTCTTCCATTTTTCCTTTTGGTAGATGTTTGTTTTTGTTTTTGTTTTTTAACACTTAAAAAATTAATATGAATTATTTGTAAAATAAAAAGCAACAACACACATTGCTTACAATCGCAAGGGACTGCTTACTCACTACCCCTTAATTACCTAATCTGTAAACTTCTATGAGCTACACTAACAATAGGGCATCTTCCGCAGGAAAAAGTTTTTTCTGAGCTGCAGTGGGGGCCATTTAAGGGAGTATGACAGAGAACAGTTGTGTGGCCCTCAACTTAAGACCTCATTCTTTTGCCTTATGTTCAGTGCCTTCTATTATCAGTATAGATTTTTTTATTCAAAATTTATTTTAGAAGGTATTATTCTGCACAAAATTTATTTAGAAGGTGTTATTATGCACATTCTAAGTACCTGGCTCTGAGCTAGAATTCCATGAAAGCAGTAATTACCTTTAAAAACAATAACCGACATGCTAGAAGTATTGGTAAATATGAAATGCTTGTGCTTTGCTTTTTCTTCTCTAATTATAGGATTTGGAGTTTTTACTGAACAAGTTGATGAAGCTGTGGAAAATTGACCTAAATGGAAATCCTGTTTGTCTCAAACCAAAATACAGGGACAGACTGATACTGGTGTCCAAATCACTGGGTACATATTTATATTAATAAGAGAATGACAATTAGTTAACTTTTTAGTTATTTTACCAGTAAGCTTTCAGAAATATGAATATGACATCTGGATCTGTGAAAACTGTCAACTTTAAATTCAATATTTTGAATAAGAGCAAAAGTTAAAATTGACAAATAAAGCATGAAAAACATCTGCTGTTCAGAAGTAATTAAAGCACCTGATACTTATTCCTTAAGGAGTATATTTTGCTATTACCAATAAAAATGGTTAGTCATAAATGTGTAGAACTTGCTGACCTTTTGCCAAACTTTCACTGGCACAAATCCTTTGATGATCCCAAGAGACTCCTTAGCTCTTGGTTCTGTAGATAAAATTGATCAAAGCTTTCATTGCTTGACATTTGCCAAATGTTACCCTAAGAACATACAGGAATCCCTTTCATTTGATAGGAGAGCTAAGTGAGGAGACCCTTTATGAGATCCTTACAAATAACCTTCCTGAATATGCACCATACTGGGGGAAATGGACAAAAGCACTAGATTAATAGTGACCAAGTGACACAGCATCAGAAAGACACACAGTGACCTCTCACGAAGGCACTGGTTTGCTGTGTCCTTGTAAGAAGTCATTTTTATGTTTTATAGGTTACCCAGTCCTCACCAAACAGAGTGACAGTCCACATATTTGGTTTACTTAGCATGAGTGGAAGCAAATTTTGTATTGAGAGCAACTTATTAAAATGAAATAAATCTCATTAGGTCTATAATCTTGAATCCATTACCTGGCTCCCAGTCTTGAACCATTTTCACACCTATTAACTTCAAATAAGATCATTTGAGGCTGGCCGCGGTGGCTCATGCCTGTATTCCCAGCACTTTGGGAGGCCACGGCAGGTGGATTGCCTGAGCTCAGGAGTTTGAGACCAGTCTGGGCAACACAGTGAAACTCCATCTCTACTAAAATACAAAACAATAGCCGGGCGTGGCGGCGAACACATATAATCCCAGCTACTCGGGAGGCTGAGACAGGAGAATCGCTTGAACCTGGTAGGCGGAGGTTTCAGTGAGCCGCGATCATGCCATTGCACTCCACCCTGGGCGACGAAGTGAGAAAAAAAACCAAAAAAAAAAAAAAAAAAAAAAAAAGATCATTTGCTAAAAATGAGATGGAATCAGGTTAACAGAGGCACAGTTTCCTAGTCATTCCTCAGCTCTGTTTGGGACATTAACATGAGGAAGAAGAGATTACAATAAAAGACTTGGAATTTTCATTCCTTATCTTTATAGTATATTTTAAAAGTATGTATTGATTACATATATCTCATCCAAAAATATACTAACAAGTTATATAATTATTAATAAAAATAGATCTGGAAAGACATCAATAAATATAAGTGGCTGGAAAAACTGAGCATCAAAGAATGACCTTTAGAGTAGAGGCGGGGTTTCACCACTTTGGCCAGGCTGGTCTCGAACTCCTGACCTCAAGTGATCCACCCGCCTTGGCCTCCCAAAGTGCAGGGATTACAGGCATGAGCCACCGGCCCAGCCTGACACCACTGTTAAATTAGGGAGAAAAGGTTAAGGATGGCTAATTCTAGTTATCACGACTGTGAAAGGATTTACTTTCTATCAGAAAGACTGTGTTTAACACAAACGCAGAAGCCTCGCTCTTCATTCTAGCAGAATTTTGCTTTTGCACACTTATTCTCCATATGAGGAAAACTACAAGTAACCCAATTTCCGCTTCAGGAAGTTAAAGACATTAACTTGGCAGAAATAGGCTTAGTCTGGGAAACAGAAAGCAAGCAACTTGTTCAGGGAAACTTTTCAGTTCTGCGACGACGCATGCGCTCTGCCTCCAGGAAAGTGGCAAATACGGCTGCACGAATTGGCGGCCCCACCCTCCCTGGTCACATTTTGGGAGACAGCGGTGTGGCAGCGGCCGTGGCGATAGCGACGACAGGCCTAGGGCGGTCAGAAGGTTTCTGGTTCAGGTTTAACTTTCGGCTTCCGTCTCGGGGCTGAGGTTTGTGAGCTGTAGTATTGAGTCCCATTCGAGCTATTGTTCTTTTTCCTGAAAAATGGCACTAAGAGGGAGCTGGATGAGCTGAAACCATTGATCTTTTCACAGTCGTTGATAACTAGAATTAGACACTCCTTAACCTTTTCTTCCTAATTTATCAGTGATGTCAGGCTGGGCGCAGTGGCTCACGCCTGTAATCCCAGCACTTTGGGAGGCTCCAAGGCGGATGAGAAGACAGTGAAGAGCGTGCTGGGTTTCTCAGAGCCTACAGTGGTCACTGTAGCATTGAACTGTGTGGGGAAGAGCATGGACAAGAAGAAGGCAGCCGATCATCTGATACCTTTTCTTGATGATTCTATTCTCCGATTTGTGGACAAACTGAGGCTGTAGGAGAAAGGCGGAAGCTCTAGGCATTCCAAGTCTAGCAGTGACTGAAGCAGAAAACGAGAGCTAAAGAAGGTGTTTGGTGATGACTCTTGAGATCTCTAAGGAATCATCAGGAGTAAAGAAGCAGCGAATACCCCATTTTAAGGAGGTGGAAGAAGAGCCTGAGGTGATCCCTGGGCCTCCATCAGAGAGTCCTGGCATGCTGACTAAGCTCCAGAGCAAACAGATGATGGACGCAGCAAAATGACAGATGGAGGAGAGGAAAAAACAGCTACGCTTTATTAGCCCCCCTACACCTCAGCCAAAGACGCCTTCTTCCTCCCAACCAGAGCGACTTCCAATCGGCCACACTATTCTGCCCTCCCTGGCTGCCACTTTCATGAATGATGCCATTGAGAAGGCAAGGAAAGCAGCTGAACTACAAGCTCGAATCCAAGCCTGGCTGGCACTGAAGCCAGGACTCATCAGCAATGCCAACATGCTTGGCCTGGCTAATCTCCATGCCATGGGCATTGCTCCCCCAAAGGTGGAGTTAAAAGACCAAATTAAACCTACACCACTGATCCTAGATGATCAAGGGTGCACTGTAGATGCAACATGCAAGGAGATTGAGCTGACGCACTGCATGCCTACTCCTGCCAATATTCGTGCTGTGAAGAGGGAACCATTCAAGCAACAGCTAAAAGAAAAACCATCAGAAGACATGGAGTCCAATATCTTTTTTGACCCTGAGTCTCCTCTGTCGTTTCCCAGCGCCAGAAACGCACTTTTAAATTCCATGACAAGGGCAAATTTGAGAAGATTGCTCAGCGATTAAGAACAAAGGCTCAACTGGAGAAGCTTCAGGCAGAGATTTCACAAGCAGCTCAAAAAATAGGCATCCATACTTTGACTAGGCTTGCCTTCATTGCTCCTAGGAAGGAGCTAAAGGAAGTAGATATCCCTGAAATTGAGTGGTGGGACTCACATAATCCCCAATGGCTTTGACCTTACAAAGGAAAATCCCAAGAGAGATTATTTTGGAATCACAAATCTTGTTGAACATCCAGCCCAGCTCAATCCTCCAGTCGACAATGACACACCAGTTACTCTGGGAGTGTATCTTACCAAGAAGGAACAGAAAAAACTTCAGAGACAGACAAGGAGGGAAGCACAGAAGGAACTACTAGAAAAAGTCAGGCTGGGCCTGATGCCTCCTCCAGAACCCAAAGTGAGAATTTCTAATTTGACGCAAGTATTAGGAACAGAAGCTGTTCAAGACCCCACGACGGTAGAAGTCAATGTCAGAACTCAGATGGCAAAAAGACAGAAAGTGCATGAAAAGGTCAATTCTGCCTGAAAACTCACAGCAGAATAGAGAAAGGTCAAGAAAATTTAAAAGCTTAAGACATTTCACAGGGGGTACACATATCTGTATATGGAGTTAGAAATTTGAGCACCCCAGCCAAGAAGTTCAAGATTGAGGCCAGTGCTGGGCAACTGTACCTGACGGGGTGGTGGTACTGCACAAGGATGTCAACGTGGTAGTAGTGGAAGGGGGCCCCAAGGCCCAGAAGAAATGTAAGCATCTTATGCTGCATCGGATAAAGTGGGATGAATGGACATCTGACACAAAGGGAGATGATCATAAGGAATCTAATGAGGAAGCTGTGAAGAAAACCAACAAATGTATACTATTCTGGGAGGGTACAGCCAAAGACCGGAGCTTTGGAGAGATGAAGTTTAAACAGTATCCTACAGAGAACATAGCTCGTGAGCATTTCAGAAAGCATGGGGCTGAACATTACTGGAACCTTGCCCTGAGTGAATCTGCGTACAGTCCACTAATTGAGACTACTGCAAGCCCTTGCCTCTCCCCTCTTGCCTTTGTCTCTTCTGTCCTCTCACTTATTCTGTTTCCCAACCCACTCCCACTTGTATGATCTTAGAACTATGCCAAGCAGACATTGGGACAAAGGGAGAATATCTTGCTCCCTTCCCCAGTCAGCCTGGTGTTGCCCTTTATTCCCCTTATGTGCATATGATTAAAGAGGTTTTTTTAAAATAAATAATAAAAAAGATGACCTTTATTGTAAAGTTATAAGTACTAAGATATTTAACAATTTCTTATGGTTTGGATAGTACTAGCTTCTTCAGTGAAAAAAAAAGTGCATGAAATAAGATATGGAGACAGTTTTACTTCTAGATTCTATGGTTCTAGTTTATATTCTTTGTTTCAACATTTTGTTTTGTACTTTGGGTATAACACAATATTATGGCTCATGTTTAAGTGGTAGTATTAATATTTTCAGTAGTACAACTAATATTTTATCAGAATATTGTCATTATCCCTGAAATAATGTGTGATCTAATAAATTTTACTACATCCTTTCTACATTCTGGGATCTAGTGGATTACATGAATAATGAGAGAAAATATCTAATTTTCAAAACTACTATACATAAATTTCATTAGAAAAAAATCTATCAAGCAGAGTCCTATGGAAAGAAAGAAAAAAATTTTGAAGAAAAAAATCATCCTTCTATTAAATGAAGGTCATCTGTGTTCATGTAATTGAGGAAACAATATAGGCAATATAAAATAACCTTTAATAAGGGAATTGTTCAATATTTCATAATATATCCATAAACAATAGAATACCAGCCATTAAAAACTGTATTTAAGGAAAAACATGGTAAAATATTCACAACACAATATTAAAAAGCAGGATGCAAAACTAATATAAATAGAGGATTCCAATTTTACATATATTGAAAATAAAAACATGCTAAGAAATATACAAAAGTGTTACCAGTGATTATTTCTCATTGGGGAATAATTTTTTTATTTTTTGTGTGTTTTCCAAATGTCTTACAACATGAAAAATTATTTGTATAATTTATGAAGCTCAATTTCTATCACACCTCTGTAATCCCAGGGCTTTGGGAAGCCGAGATGAGAGGATTGTTTGAGGCCAGGAATACAGGAGCAGCCTGGGCAACATAGTGAGATCCCATCTCTAAAAAAAAAAATGTCTTTAATTATCCAGGCATGGTGGCACATGGCTATTGTTCTAGCTACTCTGGAGGTTAAGGCAGGAGGCTCACTTAAGCTGAGGAGTTTTGAGGTTGCAATGAGCTAAGATCATGCCACTGCATTCCAGCCTGGATGGCAGAGTGAGATCCTGTCTCAAAAATAAATAAATAAATAAATAAATAAATAAATAAATAAACAAACATAATAAGGGGTAAGGTCAGGCACGGTGGCTCATGCCTGTAATCCCAGCACTTTGGGAGGCCGATGCAGGCGGACTGCTTAAGCTCAGGAATTTCAGGCCAGTCTGGGCAACATGACAAGACCTTGTCTCTACTAAAAATACAAAAAAATAGCTGGGGATGGTGGTGCACACCTGTGGTCCCAGCGACTCGGGAGGCTGAGGTGGGAGGATCACTTGAGCCCCAGGGGGCAGAGGTTGTTGTAAGCCAAGATCACTCTATGCACTCCAGCCTGGATGACAGAGCGAGACCTTGTCTCCAAAAAAAAAAAAAAAGAAGGGGTATGGATAATAATTACGAAGCCTTTTAATGTTTTATTTGATGATATTTCCATTGTTTATAACAAGCATATGTTCTTTTTGGAATCAGAAAAAAATCTATAAATAAAATCTCAACAAAAGTACATATGTTGCGTAATTAACGTATTTTAAAAACAAATTTATTTCAGTCTATGGTGTAACTTAAGTTTCTGTGCTCTGAACCAGAATTGCATATTTTGACTTATGTTTATATGTATATATTGTATATATGTATATATTGTATATATGTATATATTTTTAAATGTATGTATTTTTCTCCAGAATTTCTTGATGGAAAAGAAATTAAAAATATAGAAAGACAATTTCTAATGAATTGGAAAGCATCCAAAGACGCCAAGAAAATCAGCAAAAAAAGGAGCAGTAAAAATGAGGATGCAAGCAATTCACTCATAAGTAAGCACTCTGTCACTCATTAGGTGACTGCTCTTCTAGCAAAGGAAATATTCTAAGCAACAGAAAAATGCCAACAAATAAAATGTTTTTTGTTTAGTTTGTTGTTGTTTTATGGGTTTTTTTAAAACTTATTTACTTAGTTGTACATAAGTACCATTTGTCTTGTATTGGAAATTTTACCTATAATGTTTATGTAAATGGTAGCCACTGTGAACAACAGCTGTGTTTGGTTTTGTGTAGACATAGAGCCACAAGGGTAGGGAAAAATGTATAATTTTATATCTGGCAAAAGTGCATGATATCGGCTATGTAAATTGTGAAACCTAAGCCACTCGTATATTTGTTAAGTAACAGTGCAAAAAGGCCAGGCACGGAGGCTCACGCCTGTAATCCCAGCACTTTGGGAGGATGAGGAGGGTGGATCACCTGAAGTCAGGAGTTCAAAACCATCCTGGCCAACATGATGAAACCCTGTTTCTACTAAAAATACAAAAGATTAGCCGGGCATGGTGACAGGTACCTGTAATCCCAGCTACTTGGGAGGCTGAGGCAGTAGAATCGCTTGAACCCAGGAGGCGGAGGTTGTAGTGAGCCAAGATCGTGCCATTGCACTCCAGCCTGGGCAACAAGTGCAAAACTCCATCTCAAGAAAACAAAAGGTGCAAAAATAACATTTTTTATCAATATAGAAAATAAAAATATATCATGACCACATCTGTGGACTGTCCCCCTTCTTATGCACATACTCCAACACCTGAAAATTTGGATTATAATATACCTAAAGTTGTGTTACAAAGGACATACCAACCTCCCTTGCCTAACTAATGCAACAAAATGTAACTAAGAGCAATGTGTAACAGTTATCTTCATTTTGGAGCATCCAAGAATTGACTAGTCTGGCCGGGCACAGTGGCTCATGCCTGTACTCCCAGCACTGTGGGAGGCTGAGACAGGCGGATCACCTGAGGTCAGGATTTCAAGACCATCCTGGCCAACATGGTGAAACCCCATCTCTACAAGAACACAAAAATTAACCACCCATGATGGCAAGTGCCTGTAATCCCAGCTACTCGGGAGGCTGAGGCAGGAGAATCACTTGAACCTGAGAGGTGGAGGTTGCAGTGAGCCAAGATTGTGCCATTGCACTCCAGCCTGGGCGACAGAGCAAGACTCCATCTTAAAGAAAAAAAAGAACTGCCTAGTCACAGATTTTTTAGCCCACAACATTGCAATGAGCCCCTTCCTCCTTTCCATGATAGTGTTTGATTCTACGACTGATTAAGGGAGGGGATAAGGACATAGTGAAGGGGCTAGGCCAGGGAAATAGAAAAAGGGAAATGGGGACACTGTAGTGAGGTTTTATGCACAGATAGCATAGCATATCCTAGGAGCTCTGTCGCTCTAGGACATGGTGTCTGACATGAGGAGGAATACAGGTGGAGAGGTATGGAGCTCTAGTGATTTTGCCATATCATGTTCACTGAATACAAACTATGGGGCCAAATGTGGTGGTTCACACCTGTAGTTCCAGCACTTTGGGAGGCTGAGGTGGGAGGATAGTTTCAGCCTAGGAGTTCAAGATCAGTTTGGGCAACATAGTGAAACCTCATCTATACAAAAAATATTTTAAAATTAGCCAGGCATGGTGGCATGTGCCTATCGTCCCAGTTACTTGGGAGGCTGAGGGAGGAGGATCACTGGAGCCTGGGAGATCAAGGCTGTGGTGAGCGTGATTGTGCCACTTCACTCCAGCCTGGGGAACAGAGCAAGACCCCATCTGAAAAAAATAAAGAATATAAACTATGGAAAATCATTAAGTAGAATGGGACTTTCTTAGTTGATAATATACTTATGAGTAAATTGCAATATACTGTGTTGTAATGTGAATTTCTCAAGATCTGAAACTTCTAAAGTAGTCAGAAGGCATGATTCCTTTGTTCATTCCTGGCTGGCGTGAAGGGCAGAACTAGACCTAGAGTAAGGATTCTAGTATTTTATATATTTTCAGTATTACACCAAAGATGTCACTTTTTAAATATTTAATACCAGCCTCACCCCAGAATTGGGCCAATTCTAAAAATAATGTAGTTTCTTTCATTTTAACTGATTTCAAAAATTCTTCCTAATTTAGGGACAACTATATTAATTGTTAACTGCAAGGAAATTTGACAAAATAATATGTCTTTAAATTTACAACTTAAAAAAATTATAGTCTACTAACCAAAGCAATCTATACAATGCAATCCCTATAAAAATACCAATGACATTCTTCACAGAAATAGAAAAAAAAATCCTAAAATGTGTGTGGAACCCCAATAACCAAAACAATACTGGGCAAAACCAACAAAGCCAGAGCCACCACACTACTAAACTTCAAGGTATACAACAAAGCTATAGTAACTGAAACACCATGGTACTGGTATAAAAACAGAAAAATAGACTAGTAGAACAGAATAGAGAACCCAGAAACCAATCCACTTAGCTACAGCCAACTGATTTTTGACAAAGGTGCCAAGGACATACATTGGATCACAGCTCACTACAGCCTTGATCTCCCAGGCTCAAATGATCCTCCTGCCTCAGACTCCCAAGTAGCTGAGATGACAGGTGTATGCAACCATACCCGGCTAATTTTAAAATACTTTTTGTAGAGATGAAGTCTCACTGTGTTGCCCAAGCTAATTTGGAACTCCTAGGCTCAAGCTATCCTCCTCCTCAATAAATGGTGATGGGAAAACTGGATATCCATATGCAGAAGAATGAAACTAGACCCTCAGCTATCAGCCTATGCAAAAATCAACTCAGTATGAATCAAAGACCTAAATATAAGACCTGAAACTATAAAACTACTAGAAGAAAAGAGAGGAAATGCTTCAGGACATTGGTCTGTGAAAAGATTTTATAATAGAACCTCAAAAGCACAGGCAACGGGAACAAAAATAAACAAATGGGGTATGTCAAACTAAAAAGCTTCTGCACAGCAAAGGGAACAATCAAGAGTGAAAAGACAACCTACAGAATGGGAAAAATATCTGTAAACTCTTCATCTGACAGGATTATTATTCAGAATATACAAGAAACTGCAATATCTCAACAGCAAAAAAACAACAATCCAGTTTTAAAATGGGCAAAGGATCTGAACAGACATTTCTCAAAAGACATATAAATGGCCAAGAAAAATATGCCCAATATCACTTAATCATCAGGAATGCAAATCAAAACCACAATGAGGTGTCATCTCATCCCAGTTAGGATGGTTATTAACAAAAAGACAAAAAATAACAACAGCTGGCCAGGCACAGTGCTCACGGCTGTAATCCCAGCACTTTGGGAGGCTGAGGTGGGTGGATCACTTGAAGTCAGGAGTTCAAGAACAGCCTGGCCAACATGGTGAAACCCTGTCTCTACTGACAATACAAAAATTAGCCAGGCATGGTGGTGCATGCCTGCAATTCCAACTACTCAGAAGGCTGAGGCACGAGAATCACTTGAACCAGGAGGCGGACTTTGGCAGTGAGCCG